GTGCTGTGTTCACAGGATGGGCCGAGTCAGGCTGATGGGAAAAGCTTTCAGACCAGGCTCTCCTGGAATGCTTAGTGACGGGGACAGGACACTAACCGTTCGTCTCAAGCGATCTTCTCAGTTTGTTCCATGTCGACAGAAAGATGGTGATTCTGTTCTGCAGTAGGTGCCTCAGCCCGTCTGTTGAATAGAACACTTTGTAAGAGCCCTATGATAGCAACCCCCCAGCCGGGGCACACCACCCTGGTCACATGCTCTGCCAGGAGCCCGTCTTTGCTGCTCTATGCAGTCGAGTGTGTCTGAGGTGCTGTTTGAAGCACTGAGCTGAGTGTGCGGAGCTAGAGAGGGAGGTGCTTTTCAGTTGCAGCAAAAGCTTCTGATGTTTTTGGGGTTCAGGTACCCTTCATCTCATGCTAAGAGCTTAGGCTATAGCAGGCGTCCCCATGCGGCCCCCTGAGGCCATTTATCCGACCCCCACCACACTTCAGGAAGGGGCACCTCTTTCATTGGTCAGTGAGAGGAGCACAGTATGGGCGGCCCTCCAGCGGTCTGAGGGACAGTGAACTGGCCCCTGGGTAAAAAGTTTAGGGACGCCTGGGCTACGGAGTGCCCATCAGCCCCTCCTCTCCTCCTCCCCACCCCGCCCCCCTCCGCAGTGATCCTTTCAAACCACCCAATGAGGAACAGTCCTGGTCCCGTCGGAGCAGAGCCACACCTGAGCTGTGGCTGCTGATGAAGCCTCTGATGGAGCGGTATTCCGCCTGCGGGACGTTCTGGAAGCGCTTCACTAGCTCCCTTTGCAGGGCCAAAATCTCAGGCAGGAACTTCACCAGCCTCAGCTCTGCTTCCTGGAGAAGGGAAGACCACCTGGTAACACTTTTTATTTACCTAAAACATGTTACTGGGGCTACAGACTTTGAGGCTGGCGGGGAGACTTGTATTTGTAGCTTGATCTGCTCGGTGTCATTTTCTGTGACATGGCATGGAGCTTGAAAATGGAAAAAGGGCCCTCCTGCTCCTCCTGCAGGTCTGTGGACAGTGCAGTGTGTTAGAGATGGAGGATGGGGAAGGCGGAGCCCAGCCTCTGCGGAGCTGGTACATCAGCCACGTGCGCCAAAGGCTGGTGAAGGAAATATAGCCCCAGGCCCATGTGACTGGCTGGGTGTGGAGAGAAGCTGCTGAGAGAAGAGACCCAGAGCTTAGGCAGCGAGGGCTGGCGTTATTCCTGGGTGTCTTCCGAAGACCTAGATCTAAGCATCTTCGATATAATGAAACCACCTCAGAGGGACAGCACAGCATTGAGAGGAAGTCCTTCCTGTCATTGGAGCTAATATTTCCTGACTGACCAATACAAACTTCCAGTCATCTCCTGCCTTGCCAGACAGCAAATACTAGTTCATGAAGAGAAATGATTAGACAATCTATCGTAGAAAATGAAAGTGCAAATGGATGAAAGTTAGAAAAGCGTGCCTCCCTGCCTGCCTTCCCTCCTTCCTTCTCTCCCTCCCTCCCTGCCTGCCTTCCTTCTCTGTTGCCAGGCTGGAGTGCCGTGGCACAATCTCAGCTCACTGCAGCCTCTGCCTCCTGGGTCCAAGAGATTCACCTGCCTCAGCCTCCCAAGCAGCTGGGACTACAGGCGTGTGCCACCACACCCAGCTAATTCTTTTGTATTTTTGGTAGAGACGGGGTTTCTCCATGTTGGCCAGGTTGGTCTGGATCTCTTGGCCTCGTGATCCACCCGCCTCGGCCTCCCAAAGTGCCGGGATTGCAGGCATGAGCCACCACACCCGGCCAAAAAGTGTGTGTTTCTAATTCCAACAGACATGATCAGTCCACTTGATGGCTCCCCAGTACCCCACCACTGTCGGCACACACCCACTCACTCGCCTCTTCCACCTACACCTCGATGCTTAGGCACAGGGAGGAGTTTGGTTTGATCCGCCCATGCTCCAGCACTGCAGACAGAGGAACAGAGCGGCTGGGAAAGGGCTGCCTCTGTTTCTGTCTGGCTGAGTGACGACGGAGGCCTTCTGCTGGCCTCCAGCTTCTCTACAGGCCATGGCCAATCCCAACCTGGGTGTGTATTTCGTCTGTAACTTGACACTTTAGGTGATCGTACGGTTTGATATCAATGAAGATCTCTGTCCCTGAGTCTTCTGCTACAGACATTCTATTTAAAATCAAAGCACTGAAATAGTCTGTGAAGACGTCTCGTCTTTAGGAATGATTATACTACATAAAAGCCCAGGGCCTTCAGGTCCACTGGGGAACTCTGCACCGAAAGAGGGAGGCAGCCAGGGTGAGCCAGACGTACCTTTTGCAGGAAGTGCCAGAGGACGGGCACTCTTTCTCTGCCATTTTTCTGTTCCACGATGTGCTGGAGGTGCTCAACTGTAATTCTTTTCCTGCAGCTCCAAATCTTAGAACAATGGACCACACTTTTCCGGGGCAGGTGGGGCAGGAAGGTCGCTGGGTCACCATATATTATTTTGGCCACGGGGTTAGAGCTGATACGCTTATCTTGGCTGATCAGAATATTAATGGCGGGAAGGGTTTTATCTAGATGCTGGATGGAGAAAATGAAAATTCTGGAAGTGAGGTATTGCCACAAACAGATTGGAACACCCAGTCACTGCACCAGTGGGTATCTGCATACGAGGGAGTTTGTCCCCTGCTCGGAGTGTGTCATCAGGCATTCCCTTTGATCTTTTATTCTAATTTCAGTGTTCTTTGTTTATAGATTTATGTCTCCCCAAACAGAATGAGATTCAGAGACTATATTACTCTTAGTAGTATTGTGACTGCTAGATGAGTAATTCATCTTTGATTTTCGGTTCATTTTTAGTGGGTATCTACGTGATAGTTTGTTTCTCTACCTCGTACATTACATTGTGCTGTAAAAAGTAATGGAGAGAAAAATACTGCACTTGGATTCCCGGTAATTCCTCGGACTGACTCATGAGCAGCTGCAGGCGGGAAGAGCACTTGGGGACAGGAGGAGGATGGGGTGACTTGAAGTGGAGAGCATCGGAGTCGGGCTCAGCCACAGGCTCCTGCTGGCACCGCTGCGAAGGGCAGCAGGCAAGGAGCACTCAGTAGACGCTGGGAGCCTTCCTCTCTGGGCAGGGGGGCAGCGCAGCCGCCACTCACTGCTCACCTCCAGATCAGGCGAAATCACATCCGCAACGGCCTTTTCCCAGTTGTTCCTCATTTCTTTAGTTGACAGTCTTGTGTCAAAATTTAGCACTACAAAAAAAAAAACAACAAAAAACAAAAAAACGAAATGTGTAGGTTGCCCAGGGCACGAAGAACACAGCAGTCTGTGTATAATAAACACCAAATAGGTGTTTAATGGAAATAACGCTCCCTTTGAGGCAATAGCTTTCTAAATTAATCTAAGTATTTTGAAATAGTTCTGCTGCTACCATCACCTCAATGATCTTTAAGATAATGTCAATCTCTAAAAAGTCCCTCGACCTTACATAATTGTAATCTTAGAACTATTCTGAAAAAAGTACTGAAAGAACAGAACGTAAGCTTCGAAGCCCAGGACGTAGTGACAGGCCAGGCCGTCACCAGCCACCTCAGCTGCTGCCACCCAGGCCTGAGGCAGACCACACAGGTGCAGAGCGCCGCAGGAACGGACGGTCCGCCTGCTGCCAGGATTCTGTCGTTTCTTCAGTGTGACTGTGGGTGTGCGCACCTCATTGAAATCCCACCAGAATAAGAGGCTTAAAATCAAATCAGATTGTTCAAAATGGAAAATAAATACGAATGCTGGTTTCGGGCAAAGAAGTATCTGAGGTGGGAGCAGATTTTCTCATCACAGCCAGGACTTTATTGCTATTATTATTACTTTAAATAACATTGTCCTCACAATAGTAATTGTGGTTTTTGCAGATTAGCAAATCACTTTTAATTCTGCCACTCACGGATAACCATTTTACTAAGTTGTTTTACAGACCTTTTCTTTCTGTATGGATTTAAATTTTTTTTTAAATTAGCTCAGTGAATACAATATCTTATAGCCATTTTTTTTTGTAACGTAACTGGACATATAAACATGTAATACATTAGCACACAACTGCGATGTGTTTGGGAAAGCCGCGATGAGGACGTGTCTTTGACACACGCCACTTATGTGGGCGATACGCACTCCCTCCATGGTAGGGGAATGACCTGCGGGCTGACTTTGGAACTGAAAAGTCTCCCCATATATGCACGCTAAACCTTTGTGTGCAGGCGCTCCGAGTACTGTGGGTCTTAGCCAGGCAGGTGTGAATGGAGAGAACAGAGCAGCTCCTCACATCCTCTGGGCAAGCAACGTGCTTCCTGTTCCCAGCTCCGGGCACTGCCTTCCCTAGACATGGTTTTCTCTATGTGTTCTCTCATTCTTTCCAGCCACAGCACGGACAGAGCTCGGACTGGCCACGTGTGGGGTGGTCCAGAGACAGCGAGCGGCTTTCGCTGCCGTTGTGCCGTGTGATCCCCGCCCAGCCCCTGCCCCTTTCCTCACTCTTGCCAGAGAGCTGTCTCCCCTCTTGGAGAAGCCCGCGCAGGACGAGGTGGACCACACTGGCGGTCTCATCGGCACTGTGTCTCAGTGTCTTGGTCAACTGCTCCAAGTCTTTCAGGACGTGCTGCTGCAGAAAGCCTCGTGGATCCCTCACTGGAGGCTTAATGATGTTCATCAGAGCCTGTGGGGGCAACAGGACAGAGCACCCAGTGGGATCTGGGATCTGGTTTGTAGATGAGGTGGGGAGCCTGGTAGAGGCTGTTGGGAGTGGAGCACCAGCACTGAGGTGGAAGGAGGTCTCTAAGGTGGAAGCTGCGGAGTGATCCAAGCATGATTCAAACAGGTGAGAGGCAGGCGAGCAAGCGGGACAGCTGCTGGTTTTTCTGTTATTAGAGTGTGAGAGAGAATCCTCAGAGCCTGGACTTTTTGCCCTCTTGGTTAGTATTAACTTAGAAGAATGCAGTGTGCTCTGTTTCTTCCCTAGAGCCACAACGAAGACAGGTAAAAATAACACAGATGTCAGCCTCTCTACTCCCAGATGTGGACCAAAGCCACAGAGTTGTTGATGGGAAGTGGATTTTATATCCTCTGGTGAGTACTTCCCCATACCCTCCTGTGCCACAGGGGCCGGGGACATGAAGATGTGTAACCTTTATATGACTTTACAGACTAATTATCTTCAAAATGCAGCAGCTAGGACTCCCTGGGAAGAGGGGGAAAGCAGGTTCTTCCTAGAGTAGCTCAACACAGTGTTTGGCAGCACCGGGCTATACCTGGGGACTCTTGGCTGCTCCCAGAAGCAGAGCCAAGTGAGTGAGTAGCCGGATAAGTATGAAGACCAGTGGGGGCAGCTCTCGGTCACATGTCACCACCAGCTCTCTCTGCTGTGGGTTGCCTAGCACGTGGCCGGTCTGTGTTCTATCTACGCTGTTGCTGGAAAGAACAAGAGAACACAGGGTAGAGACTGAGGCTGGCCGCTTGGGCACACTGCACGTTCTCAGCACTTGGACTGAGGCTCATGGCCGAGAAGACAGCTACGTCCAAAGATCTTGTTCCACTAAGCCCAGGCCATGTTCCTAAGAGTCTACCATGACAGACTCGCCTTTCTGGCGGACCAGACCCCACCGCATTCTCAGCGTAAAGTGGCTGCGCCGTGCCCTGTTGACGCCAGTCCCGGGGCGGCGTGTTAGGACGCAGGCCTGGACCCGTCTTTTCCACTGAGGTCCCTGTCGGGAGAGGAGCGGCTGGGCTAAGAACAGCTAGAGTTTGGGACAGGTGGTATCCCATGGGTGTCCACGTTGTTCTCTTTTTCCCAAAGGAAAAGCTGAGATCCAGAGTCTGGCAGACGGGAGGTACAGTGTGGAAGATACCCTTAGTGGCAAAAACATTAGAAGTTGGAGGACACTGGGATAGTTTCTGGAGAAAACATGAAAAGATGTGAAGCTGTGACTGCGGTGGAACCGTCAGAACGTGAGGACCGTGCAGGACCACTCACTCTCTGAAAGCAGCATTTAGAACCGCACTCATCTCGGTGTGGGGTCAGACTTTTATCTGGATTCTGAAGTCTGGCATTTGATAAGACTATGTCTCCTTCATTTTTCTCGAAAAACAAAACAAAACAAAAAAACAAATGGAGAAAGCTAAGGTTGTTGACAAGTGAGATGGCATCTGCTGAGGAGACAAAAGCCCAGCTTTGGGCCCTGCAGACACATGTGTCCCTGTGAAATAGATCATCTGTTTATGTCTCGCGCATATTTCTATAGAGGGTGCACCCAAGGCCCAAAAGGAAGACACCTGTGTTAATATTAACGGGTATTAAAGTGTAGCCTGCTTTGCATTTCAGGGCCCAGTGAGCCAACAACAGGTCAGATACCTCCCTGCCGTGTGACTCGTGGGACTTCAGCATCGCTATTCAATGTGACACAGGTCCAGAGGTACTGGAGTAATTAGTACTATCTTGAGTATCACTTTATCAGCTGGAAGAAAAACAGCCTGACACCCCAAAGTGTGAGTACTTAGGAAATACAACCCCGACGCACGTACCTGGCCACTGTAAAGCCTTCCTCAGGTCTGTGGTTCTTGCCTCCGATGAGTGCACGGCAGTCGATGCATACGCTCTGTTCCATCGGCCTGCCGCACTGGGGTGAGGACAGAGGGCACTCAGAACCACCTCTGGAGCCAGTGCCATTCTGTGTACAAATGCTGTCCTGCAGATGGTACCCCCTTATCGCTGGAGGATGTGAGCAGCCTCAGATTGTCTGTCCAGCGTTTCAGGTGGGTAGAGAACCCATGGGCACAGGGTAGGTACTCACGAATGTTGTACATGGGCAAATTTGAACTGTTTTTTTTTTTTTTTTTTTTTTTTTAAATGAGACAATTTAATCCTTATTCCCAGGGTGACCTTTTACAGGCAAGTACGTAAATTCAACCTTCCTTTCTCATGGTCAGCATTCTTGCTGTTCCGTCTGTCACACTGGCCTGTAGCCCTTCATGGTCTAATACCAAGAACACTAGAATAGCTTCCAAACTGACTTCCTTATGTCCATTTGGACTTTCTCATATATTTATCTTGCTCTGTCATCCAGGCTGGAGTGCAGTGGCACCATCCTGGCTCACTGCAGCCTCGACCTCCCCAGGCTTCAAGCTGTCCTCCCACCTTAGCCTTCCAAGTAGCTGGGACCACATGCATGCACCACCATGCCCTGCTGATGCTTCGTGTTTTTTGTAGAGATAGGGTTTCAACATGTTCCCCAGGCTGGTCTGAAACTCCTGGGCTCAAGCAATCTGCCTGCCTCAGCCTCCCGAAGTGCTGGGATTACAGGTATAAGCTATCACACCTGGCTTGGACTTTTTTATTTAAAAAAAAATCCAGTCATATGATCTACTTCCAGAGGCTCATTTTTCAAAATCAGATATTGTGCTACTGAATACTGAGAATCACAGCTGACAACAGACAAACCAGTCACAGAATTTCAGAGCTGGGAGCATGCCTGGATAGAATCTTTTTCAGTCTCATCATTTCATGGACAAGGAAGTGATTTCAGAAAAATGAAATGTATATATCAGTTTTTCTCCTTCTGTGTCTCTTATATACTGTATTAAATGACACGTATCAGGCTGGGCACAGTGGCCCATAATCCCAACACTTCGGGAGGCCAAGGCCGAAGGATCACTTGAGCCTAGGAGTTCAGTGTTATAGTGAGCTGTGATTATGCCACTGCACTCCAGCCTGGGCAAGAGAGCCCAACACTGTCTCAGCCAACTAACACTAACTAATAACTACCACCGTGTCTCAGCTCAACCCCCCAGGCTCTTGCTCAGCAAGTACAGATACTGTATGGAGGGCTCTGAGTTAGATGCTTGAGAATACAGAGAGGAATAATCAAGTTTTGCCCCCACGGCACACAATCTACAAGTCGCTTCTTCCTGTCCTTTGGCATCTGGACGAACCTTCTCTATGGGCTAATCATGCAGCCTGTGGTCCAGGCCACACCTCGCCATTCTATCAAGACCAGGGCCACTGATCCCGTGCTGCAGTGGCTAGAACAGGCATCCCCAAACTACGGCCCGCAGGCCACATGCAGCCCCCGGAGGCCATTTATCTGCCCCCCCCCCCCCCCCCCCCGCCGCACTTCAGGAAGGGGCACCTCTTTCACTGGTGGTCAGTGAGAGGAGCACAGTATGTGGCGGCCCTCCAACGGTCTGAGGGACAGTGAACTGGCCCCCTGTGTAAAAAGTTTGGGGATGCCTGGGCTAGAAAGTGGCTAGCAGCAGTTCCCAACCAGTAGCAATTTTCTTTGCTAGGGCACCTTTGCCAGTGTCTGGCTTTAGCTCTGACCCTGGCAGGAGGAGAGCTCCTGGCCTGCAGGGACTCGAGGTCAGGCATATTGCCAGACGTCCCACAGGATGTCCACAGTGTGGAGGCTGAGAAGCCCCAAGCTAGAAACCCTTAGCACCACTGACACCGCCGTGCCCAGAGCACCCAGGGCAGTCCACAGCGAGCCTGTGCTCTCCTGGAAAGCCGAGAGCCTCACTCTCCTCACCCACGATCCTGCTCCTCCCACCCCTCATGCCCTATCTTAAATACCAAGACTCACCTCTCCCACGGAGCAAGGATGGCCATTGGGACAAGCTGTGAAGAGAACAGGACACACATTGGCTAATGAGGTTTCACCAAATCACCCACATTGAAAGGGGAAAGCTAACTCTCTACTCTCTGGCCCTGACCCAAATATGAGAATGGGTGTCCACGACACCCACCAGATCTAGAGCTGATCTGTTAAGTGCTGTGACACCTGCCTGAAGCTCAACAGGTGTATGTTGTCAGTGAAAAACGTCTGAGTTTAATTGTACAAAGTACAGAGAAATTGGAAGATAGGCCCGTAGCAGGCGCACTTCTGGAGCAAGGTGGATAGAATTCTAGACCCTTCAGTTCTCTTTGATACTGTTTTTTTTGTTGCGAGCATATTTTATAACAACTTTGAAAACTAGTTTTAAAACACTGACTCAGGCAATAGCAAAAGTTACATGTCGGGGGTTATATTAGCCGGTCTCACAGTGCTAAACTTCACATATTTCAGAAGAGCTATCTTTGTGTCAAAAACTTGTTTTGTGAGGGGCCTGTGAGTGCGTCTCTGCTGTGCTCTCCGTCCCGTCCGCCTCCCAAAATAGCATATTCCAGAGAACAGAAGGGCATCACAGAGGGTCTTTTCCACATGGCTAAGAAATGAAATGGTTTGGATCATCTAGCCAGTGGAGTGCCAGCTCCTTCAGGGCACCCAGATTCTGCAGACACCATGGGTAGAAGGCAGGTGATCTGGGACCTTGAGGCACAAACCAGGTGGACCCCAAGTCGAACCCAATGCTTCATGGCATCCAGACACCCTGTGAAGCTGAGAGGAGACCCCAACACTTACTGTACCAGCTGACTCCCTCCAGACCTTTCCAACTCCTAGCTTGAGCCAGCAAGTCTTCAGGCATGGTTGGGAGAAAAGCATTCTGAAAAACAAGAAAACAGAGAGCGCTAGATAAGTGAGCACGTGGACGGGGTGGCTGCTCAGCAGGAGGCCTAGAGGAAGAGAAGGCACTAGATAAGTATGTGGACGGGGTGGCTGCTCAGCAGGGGGCCTCGAGGAAGAGAGAGCACAGTGCTTCCCTCTGCTTGACTTCGGAAGCCATCTGTGAAGAAAACAGAACAGCTCCCAGTGAAATAACAAAGGTCAAGGCAAGTCTGCCACTATCTTGTGTGCTCAAGGATCAAGGAGCTAAAGATGCTCAAGCGTGCCCACGGCTGCCGCTCGGTCTCCACAGTGCCAAGCTCTCGGCGCGGGTGCTGGGGAAGGCCAGTGGGATCGGAGCCTATTCTTACCGCCATGTTGGCTGGGGAGAAGGCCAGATTCTTTAGGGGTTCCAAGACTTTATTCTGTCCGCACAGAAGGACAGCTGCAGCATGAATGGCCATTTCTGTCACTGTGCCCTCAAGGCTGCTGCCACTGGGGCCTGCCCTCAACAATGGCAGAGAATTGTCCACGAGAGATGTTGCGAAGTGCCTGATTTCAGTAGACGAAAGGATCTTGCATTCGCCAATGAACTGGCTCAGAGCTTCACGTTGCTGACAGGAAAAAAATTTAACATTAAGATACATCAAAGAATATTGTGTGAATTCAAAGGTCTGCTCTCAGGCATACACTGACACCAAATATACATCAAATATCAAGGTAAATACGGAGAAATCACCATGTGAAGGGCAATTTTTCAGAGAAGAGAATTTGCATAAACGAACAGCCTCCACATGCGTAAGCATCAATTCCGATATTCTGTGTGAAACACTGTCTTAGGTTCTTTGGTTTTCACTATAATTCTGTAAGCTTTCGGTTAAACAGAAAATAGTTGTTCCATATAACAAGGCTGAAAACCTCCATCCTAGATAAAAAAAATTATGGCATGATTTGTGTTAACTTGTATTTTGCTCCATAAAGCCCCTCCGAACACAGACTTTGAGCCCAGCCTTGAAGGTGGTTACTCACCTCTGGCGTGGGGTGGAGGCTCGCATTGTGGGATCTGTACAGAATAGCCACCTCTCTAAACAGCACCAACAGGAAGTGGGCTGCCTGCAGCATGCTGGGGGTCCGGCAGGCCTGCAAAATCAAGGGCATCAAGTGAGAATTGAAAGGCTCAGCAGGTCTTTTTTTTTTTTTTGAGATGGAGTCTTGCTCTGTTGCCCAGGCTGGAGTAGAGCGGCACAACCTCGGCTCACTGTGACCTCCACCACCTAGGTTCAAATTGTTCCCTCGCCTCAGCCTCCCAAGTGTGTGTGGTGTGTGCACACACACACGTATAGACACGCATTTTTTAAGTGGAGACGGGGTTTCGCTTTGTTGGCCAGGCTGGTCTTGAACTGATCTGCCTGCCTAGGCCTCCCAAAGTGCTGGGATTACAGGAATGAGGTACTGCCCGCCCCCACCCCTGGGTCTACCTAAGGGCCAAAGGCCCACATAGTTTGCATGTGAAAAGGAAAGTACCTCAGCCCTCAACCCACCCATCAGGGAAGGAGCCTTTTCTAGGCCTGGACACCTGGGGTCAGGCCCCACATGGGCCATCAACTGGCAAGCAACTTTTGGGCTCCAAAGTTCCTAAAATACTCTCAGATTAAACTCAATGCATGTTTAGCAGCCAGCTTAATACAGAAGCAACGGAATCACCATCTGTTCTTCTGACTCCTTCACTGGTCTTAGAAACTTCCTGAGCAGAAAGGATTTTCTATTTCCTCTTTTCCTGGCACAGGAACTCAAAAAGGAAGCCAGACCAGACCAATTTAAAGGTTAGATTCTAAAAACATCTCTATATTTTTAACTTCCCACACCACACCAGCGTGTGTATTTTTATGAAGCACAGGCATGTCTGTGATCGCGAACGCACATAGATAGAAATTCTGCTATTAATAGTCATGTCAGCATCTTTCTGCCACTGTTTTCCCACAGGGTCTCAAAGGAAGCGATGGACAGGAACACATCAGCAGGGGCTGCCGACAGCCTCGGCAGATCAGCAAGGCAGCAAATCTGTCAACCTGGCCCAACTGTCATAGCTGTCCCGTTCCAGTCACTGGTTCGCGCACACCGGCCAGGTGCACCCCGGAGGCCGTGGGCACGGGACTCGCAATACAGTGTCATGTGATCAGGGCTTCGGTGGTCCACCACCCTGCATTGCTTGACGTCACCCAGGGAACACGCAGGCCCCAAGGGGTGTCATCTGGCATCAGTGAGAAGCCACGGGCCCACCCTACCTTCAGAGCAGTCTCAGTGCCCAGCAGCTTGCACTCGAGGACAGCTTTGGCCACAGCGTCTCGGAGAGCCTTGTACTCATCGCCGTACACCAGGTACCAATCCATCTGGCCTGGGTGGTCCTTCTGCAGCCCCAGGAAAACGGGTTAGTTGGGGGTGAACGATGGGAGGAATGTTTTGCAAAGAACTGTCTTACTAGGTGTAGGAACAGGTGATCATTCGAGGTTTAAAGGCAGCCGAGCTGGGATTCCCCTACCTGGCCTAAGGCAGGGCAGTCTGGTGCCTTCTTGGCAGGAGCTTCCTCCTCCGTAGAGGAAGAGGTGTGAGACCAGGGAGCAGCTGCTTGCTTCTGACATTCAAGGTGTCGCACTGCACCGTGCCCAAGGCTGGGTGACTCCAGTCAGATCAACTCTCAACCCCAGCAGGTGGTCACAGTGCCATGTTTTTAGTACCATTTTTGATTCCCAGGACAATAAGAATTTGTTAATTTCTGGGCATCTGGAAAGGACCACTGAGAGGCTTCAAAGCCTCTTTTTTGGGAGTGGGAAGGAGTGGTCTCACTGTCGCCCAGGCTGGAGTGCAGTAGTGCGATCTTGCCTCATTGCAACCTCCGCCTCCTGGGTTCAAGCAATTCTCCTCCCTTGGCCTCCTAAGTAGCTTGGATTACAGGCACCCATCACCATGTCCAGCTAAATTTTTTTTACTTTTATTTATATTTTTAGCAGAGACAAAGTTTCATCATGTTGGCCAGGCTGGTCTCGATGAATTCCTGACCTCAAGTGACCCACCCACCTCGGTCTCCCAAAGTGCTGGGATGACAGGTGTGACCCCCACGCCCACCTGGCCTTGAAGCCTTTTACGCAGTTCTTGTATTCTTAGTTCTCACTCTTGCATCTCTCTGCCTGTCAGAGGTAACAAGGTCGCACCTTGCAAGGTGAACTACGTTTAATTTGCTGAAAGCAAAGGCCACAAAAATGTTCTGCTTTCTCTGAGTCAAATTCAAGTAGAAGTGATGCCTCCTTAAGGAAGCTCTGAGGTGAGGCCTCACCTTGGCCCTACAGCAGCTGCTGTAAACTGATCACCAGCTGGGGCAGATCAGTGGAAGGCGGGGAGAAAGGACCAGACAGACAAGGACGTGTTTCTGCTCTGGCGAGGCTGAGGGCAAGCAGAATGCAGGAGCGTCGGCACCAACCAGGGGTGTGGTGTATGGGTATGGGGGCGTAGTGTGACAGCATGATGTGTGGGGGTGCAGGCGCGTGGGGCGTGGAGGTGTGGTTGGTATGGGTTATGGGTTTAGGGGTGTGGGGTGTAGGTTAGTGTCTAAGGGGCTATGGTGTAGGTGTTGTGGGGCGTGGTGGGTGCGGGGTGTTGGTGTAGAGGTGTGTGGGTGTGATATGGCTGGTGTGGTGTGTAGGGGTCTGGTGTGTGGGGTTTGGGTGGGGGTGTGGGTGTGATGGGGGGTATGTGGGCATGGAGTGTGGGAGTGTGTGGGGGTCCATGTTCAAGAGCTGCCAGCCCCACTTCTCACCTGCTGCTTGATGACTTCCTTGGGAAACACCCACTGGCACGGATGGCCCGGCCTGGAGAGGCCCTGCACGAACTCCATCCCCCGCTGGCTGCCGAGCTTCCGCACCAGGTACACCCGGTGCCAGTCGTTGCCGCCGCGGGTACAGAAGTGCTGGACTTCCTGCAGGTAGCACTCCTTCTCCTTCGCCATCTCTGAGAGGCCAACGAGAAGGTGGGTGAGCAGCTGGTGACTTGGGGCATTTATGGAAGGACACAAGGCCAACCACAGGGCACAGGACCTCCCCACGGGAATTCACAGAAGCACAGCCAGTGGGGAGAGGACGTGGAAAGGCCCAGTAGTAGTCTCTTCGTAGAACCAGTTCCCACGCTCCCGGAATTTCTAAATAACGGAGTCTTTCAGCCCAAAGTAAAGCAGGGTGGAGAACACTTGCCTGGGCCTCCCTGGGGCTCCGAGAGGAAGTCCGCAGCCCTGTCAAGGCAGAGGCGGACCCGGGCCACCTCCTGCAGGTATTCCACCGAGGCCTCCTGGGCAGGCTCTCGGCCATGTCGCACTGGAGAATAGGTCTTAAGGAAAACACCTTCCTCTCTCAGGTAGTTCAGTTCATCATTTCTGGAGCAAACACTGGTCTTCTCATGTATTGAATCCTGAGGAACAAGGAAGAAAAGGATATTATTCTTTCAAATATGGAAGCCCCAAGCTTCTAAAATTGCCAGTGCAACTGTGGAGAATGAAGGAAGGATAAAAAATACTATTGCAGGTTTCAGTATCAATTTCTTGTCTCATGGAAACCTAATACTCCTTTTTATTTTAAGGGCAAGAAGGAGGGGGAAAAGTGAACCTATGAAGAAAAGGTTTTATATAATCTGTGTACTTTATGAAGATAATAAAAACTATTCATAACATCTGCACCAGTGGTAACCACTGTTAGCTTTGGTGGTATATTCATTCTTCTAGGCTGTTCTTTTTGTATGCATATGCACATAAATGCCAATGTATACACCACTGAGGGCAGAAGCAATGTCTTTGAAACCTTTCTTTTTTATATATAATTTTATTTATAATTCACAGAGCATTTGTTAATTATACTGACTAAAATTATTCTGTACATTTTAAACCATGTGGCTCAGATAGTTTGCAAAAGAAATTCAGGGAAGAGAGAGTTTGCTTACCTCCAGGCAGTTGATAAACAGCATGTACAGTTCAGTTTTATCTTCAAATACGAATGCTTTCTCTTTTAACAGGGTCAAGTAGTCCTGAATATAATCTTTTACATCATCGAAGCTGTGGGAAGAGAAATATTATTCCTGGCTCTCTCAGATCTGGAGATGTATCTTACTAAAAAAAGGTCAGCTATCCTGTCTCTGTGTGTATAAACATACACATACATGTAGTTTCTAACATTTTAGGGAAAACACTGTAGCATAATACTGGGAATATAAACCGTTTTAGAGCAGCTGTTCTCAGACTTTTTGGTTTCAGCACCCTTTTATAGTCTTAAAAATTATTGAGAACCCCGAAAAGCTTTTCTTTATGTGGATTATATGATCAATATTTATGATAGGAATTATGAGACATTAAAAACAAAAGGTTTCATTTAAAATAACAGTAAAGCTATTACATGATAAATAACATTAAAAAAAAAAAAAAAAAAAAAAAAACTCTTTTCCAAAACATGAATAAGTGAGAAGAAGGGCTTGGTCTCCTGTTCCTGTTCTCACCCTGGGGCCTGGCTCCTGCAAGTCTGCTGCCTGCCCGCCCTGCCTCTGCTCACCGTCTGCTGCGCCATGTGAAGAACATGAAGAAAACCTGTCCTCACACACATGGAGCAGCAAGGAACGTGTCACAGTTTTTGCAGATCATTGTGGACATCGTTCCTTAACACTGTGCCAGCAGCGGCACTGTGATCGTGTCTGAAGGTTAGTTGCAGTGTGGAACCTGAAGTCATATCAATGCATTTTTTTCATAGTCAATTATGTTAAAGGTTCTGCCAGATACTTGATTATTTTTTTGAGATGGAGTCTTGCTCTGTCACCCAGGCTGGAGTGCAGTGGCACGATCTCGGCTCACTGCAGCCTCTGCCTCCCAGGTTCAAGCAATTCTCCTGCCTCAGCCTCCCAACTAGCTGGGATTACAGGCGCCCACCACCATGCCTGACTAATTTTTATATTTTTAGTAGAGATGGGGTTTCACCTTGTTGGCCAGGCTGGTCTCGGACTTCTGACCTCAGGTGATCCGCCCGCCTTGGCTTCCCCAAGAGCCACCATGCCCGGCTTCCCCTTGGCTCTTCCCCAAGAGCCACCATGCCCGGCCTGCCTGGACTTTAAATGTTTTTCTTTTAATTTTTTGACGTCAGGCGTTGGTCACCGGTTCACTGGGCTATGCAGGTCTTGCAAAATTTGACACATTTTGACTCTACATTTTTAGAAACCATCCACATTCATTAATATCGCCACAGATTGCCTCAAAATGTCTTTAAATCAACACCGTCAACTGTTTGGATGAGGCCAGCATGCTGTGCGGATTTCCAGGAGGGGCCTGCCCAGCCCTGGAGAAGTCACGTGCATCCGCCCAGCACGAGAGCCAGCCCAGAACCAAAGCGGCCGCTAACTCGGCACTCGTCACAAGTGACTTTCTGGGAGGTAAGCGTCACCTCTGGTGTGCAGGGGGAGTGTGTTCTGTGTGCTTCCCATTTCCACAAAACATTAAAAAGTCAAATCCTCAAGAGTCAAGATTGAGTAAAGATGAAACTGGCATGAAAAATACCACCGAAGCACGGTGCTGAAGACGATGTTGCGACCACAGCGTCGTTCGTGCGAGGGGCCGCGGCTTGACCCACCACTGCTTTTGTAAGTCACCCTAAGTGTCACCATGCTAAAAATAGAGGCGAATGTATCTTAGTATTCTAATTTTTAAAATCGTTTTGACCTCAGAGACCTACCTCACACCCAAGGGTCCACACCAGCACTCTGAGAACTGCAATATTAGAGCACTACAAGTACCACCAGGGACACTATTCTTGGATGTCAACAGCCTTTCACAAGGAAATACACAGAGCCCATGTTGGGGGGAGTATCGTTAGAAGACATGGAGGACATTTGCGGTGAGCAGCAGTCTAAGCTACCATTCTAAAAACCACAGACGAGGCCACTGTGGAACCAGGTCAGCACCACAGATGCCTGCCTCCTGAGTTCCGCGACCTTCACGCCACCACCACCCCCTCATGGCACTGTTTGCTTCTGGCTAGATGTGTGCTTGTGGGTGTACTAAACTCGTGTCTAATGTGAAAACGTCAGAATACCCAACCAGTACAAATAACCTGGCCATCTCTCACCTAAAAAGCTCCCCCAGATTATGTACCGGCTACTAGTCATGATGAGAAGACTCAGTAACAGAGAGCCGTGATGAAGAGCAAAGGCCGGGGCTTTCTAGAAGCAAGTCCATGTTGTTGCTCTTACCTGTACTTGAGAAGCAGCTTCAGTATCACCGAGCGGATGACAGGAGTCTTATCCACCACGTCATTGAATGGAGAGAGGGATTTGGTGTGTTCACGGCGTCCTTAAACCAGAAAGAGAGAGGCAGCCGGTTACGTGAGGCATGCAGGAGTGAGATGCAGAAATAAGCGTCCAGGTTTACAGGAAGAGAGTGACCTACTCTCGGGGGCATCTCTTAAGAGCTCCTTTTGGACAAATAGCAGAGAGAGCAGGCTGTGGATCACTTCCTTCTCGGGCGGAGCATTGTCCTTGAAGCACATGGTGGACACCAGGTCTACGAAGAAGCTGTTGCACATCTGCCGGAGGCGGGCGTGCTTTTCAATGGCTTCCCTGAGAACACGAGGAGCACAAATCAGAAGACTGGGGCACGGTGTTTCCCAAATCCCTCCTCACAGAATGACTGGAGATTTGGACAACATTTCACTTTTTTTTTTTTGAGACGGAGTTCGGCTCTTGTTGCCCAGGCTGGAGTACAGTGGTGCGATCTCGGCTCACTGCAGCATCCACCTCCCGGACTCAAGTGATTCCCCTGCCTCAGCCTCCCCAGTAGGTGGGATTACAGGCACCCGCCACCATACCCAGCTAATTTCATACTTTTAGTAGAGACTCGATTTCACCATGTTGGCCAGGCTGGTTTCGAACTCCTGACCTCAGGTGATCCACCAAAGTGCTGAGATTACAGGCATGAGCCACCGCACTGAGCCCTGCCTTTCACTGTTAAATATTCAAATCATTCCTCTCATCCATTAGAGCTAGTCTTCAAAACAACAGATGGTATCTAGACGCCTCTCTTTCTAGAAACACTTTGATCATTTGCACCAGCCAACAACACCCTTCAGTATCCCAAAGTATGTCAAAGAACCTATCCGCTGGGCTTGCCTAGTGCTCCACTTTTAGGAGGCCCGAGAAGGAAGGAAAACCAACCCCTCATAGAGTAGGGCTGAGGCCCGCTGAGCCCAGAGAGTGGGAGCTGCTTTTAACCACCTCTGAAAAGCTAGACAAGAAGTGGGCTGGTCCTCAGGGCAGAGACTGTGAATGATGTTGATGCATTAAGACCAGTGGTGTTTGCCAGGCACTTTGGGAGGCCGAGGCAGGGAGATCACCTGAGGTCAGGAGTTCGAGACCAGCCTGGCCAACATAGTGAAACCCCTTCTCTAATAAAAATACAAGAAAATTAGCCAGGTGTGGCTGCTTGTAATCCCAGCTACTTGGGAGACGGAGACAGGAGAATTGCTCGAACCCAGAAGGCAAAGGTTACAGTGAGCCAAGATCGTGCCACTGTACTCCAGCCTGGGCAACAGAGTGAGACTGTTACCTCAAAAAAAAAGACCAGTGGCGTCTAAATTCCTTGGGCCTCTGTTGAGGATCTGTTAACGACTTTCTGGCTTATTTCCTCTGAATTTGCTCTCTCTCAAATCTATGTGTCTGTCTTGGGGAGAGAATAATCTTGAGATAACAGATATTTATGAAAGTATGTAAGTGGTGTCTCTTACGATAGTTCTCTGAAATCAGGTTTTCTACCAAACGAAGATTAATAGAGTTTATATTTCTGAATATTGTGTTTGGCAAACAAGGAAAAAAGCAGATGCTTTCGTGAAAGAAAGGGTGTTTTACCTGTGCTCTTGGGAAGCAGTTGGAGAGAATTCGTCTGGCAAGGCGGTTAAACATAAGGGGCATATCATCTGCCCCGGGGCCAGCCAGGCTTTTAGGCAGCGCAGGCAGTGCACGTGGCCGCAGGGCAGGCAGACCGGGTCCTGCGCGTCTCCCAGGCACGTGGGGCACGGCTGGACCCCAAACCTAGAATCCAAGAAGGGTGATCGGTTCTGAAGCAGAGAAACTGGCCGGAAGCAGTGAAAACCATGCAAGAGTCAGCGTTCCCACCTTCACAGATCCCAACCTAAGGTCTCACCTGGTGAAGGTCTTGCTGGCTCTCTCCTTACACTCACAGAGAGTGCTCATCACGGCCTCAAAAGGCCTGTGGGTCTTGACGTCAGAGTTCTCTCGAAGACGCTGAAGAAAGGCGGTGACAGGAATCATTAGCGGTAGGGACGGCTGAGGGCGGCCAGCCGGGCGGCGGAGGGACACCGTGTGCACAGAGTCAGGGCCATGATGCATGTGTGCCAGGTGAGAGGCCTTCTCAATTCTTTGTTTAGTAGTTTAAAGGCTCTCTCAGCGATTATTGCCTGTCACGGGACTAAATTCTCAAGGTACTGGTTTCCCCTCTCCCTTTTCCTTCAAGGTCTCCTCCCTTCAGACTTTCAGTAATAGCATCTGGAGATCCCCCACCAAACTTTAAGAAATCTCAGTGTTTTTGGAATATGTGCTTTAGATCATTAAAAAAAAAAAAATTAGCCCCCCTAAGCAGCTGGGATAGATCATTTTTTAGAGAAAACATTTCCCTGCCTCCCCTCCCCAGAAAGGACCACATTTTTAAATTTCTACTTTCAGGAGAGCTGTAAGCATGTATCAACATGGGATTGTTTTGAATGTTTTAAAACTTTGTATCAATGATGCCACACTATATACGGGCTTCTGCAGCTCATTTTCTTCATGACGCATTAGGTCCAGATCGCTGCTGTTAGGTGCTGTGTCGTACCTGTCTGCTGGGTAATGGGCATTGAGATTTTCTGCAAGTCCTAACAGTCCTGTATCCAGCATCCTTGCATATGTGTGCTTGAGAGCAAATGGGCAGTTTCTCAGTGATATAGATGCACCACTGCAAGGTCGCAGGCTTTGCTCTGCAGGGCACCGCCCCACATTAGCAGCTTTATGAAGGGTATTGAGTGACAGACACTTGGCTCCCTGTTCCCTTGGTTCTGCTGACAGCACTGTTTTGAAGGCCCCAGCCCCAGTGGCATTCTCTGACATCCCTGTCTCAAGGACGGCCAGGCTGCTGTTCTGTTCTGGACTCACCCCAACAGGCCAGGCCCCCCCTCCCAGGGGTTTCACAAGGATGTTCCCTGCCTCAGTCCCTTTCTGCACACAGTTCCTGGAATAGTTTCTAAATGATACACCCTGACTTAGCAATCAGCAGAGGGTAGACAATTAAACGTGGAAAAGGTAATGGCCTCTTGATAAAATCACTTTCCTTCCCACTTCCAGACAAAACAGCCAAAGCCAAAATAGCGGCGTGCAGCTGCGGATCAGCGTCAGCGCTGTTCTTCCTTCTGGAAAAGCGGGGAGCCGTGCGTGCGCTGAGGCCAGCCCAGGTACTCACCTTGTCCAGTAAGATGACGTGCTCGGTCACCAGCCTGCGTAACTCGGGGACCTGGCTCTCAACTCCCAGGAGCACGTGTTCCACAAAGAGTGCAGTGGAGAAAATCCGGCTCCAGTGAACTCTGTCGAAAGAGGGCGCCACTCACTCAGCTCCCAAGAAGGACCCAGGGTACAGTGAGGGCGCCACTCAGCTCCCAGCAAGGAGCCCAGGGTACGATGAGGATGCCACTCGCTCAGCCTGGCACTGGGCAGGCTCCTGGTGAGTTCGTGAGGGAGGGCCTCTGGCTCTCACCTGACTTCCCTGATGACAGCCTGGGCCAGGGTCCCGCTGCCTTGCATGTGCCCATCCGAGCAGATGAGTTCCAGCGGCATGGAAAGATTCTTCACTAGCTGTAGCCACGCCTGGGGACTGGGCTTCAGGGTGTCTCTCGTCAGCATCTCGGTACAGGCCATCGCGGCAAACGCGTCCAGGGTCTGGGGAGACGGACAGCAGGGCATAGCTGAGCAGTGCCCCCACCCACTGCCCCGGCCCCCATTTTCCTTGTGCCAGAGGCCCTGGCTGTTAGCTGCATGGATACTTGTGTCCCAGGCTTGCAACCGAATCTTTCATTGTCTGGGGTATGGGAAGCGTCAGCAAGCTGTGTTCTTAACATCTGCGAGTTAAGCTGAGGTCTGTGCCTCGTGAAGAAGTCTTCCACCTGGAACACAGCCCCAAAGCCTTCCCTTCCCAGAGTGGAGCTGGAAGCACCCCAACGCTGGCTCAAGGCAGGCGGAGGAGGACCATACCATCTCACGTCCAGCCAGCTCGTGGTTTCGAGAGGCTTCCATCAGGCTGCGGAGAATCTGGGGATAGATGGTCAGGATTCTGGAGAAGTTCTGCAGCCGGCTTCTGAAACGCTGGTAGGCCAGGTGCACCCATGGCAGGGAAACCTCTTCCTCAGGCACTTCTGATGCCACGTTCAGTTCACGGACGCAGGACCACAGAGCCATCTGCAGAAACTGGGATTCAGACAAGCTTTTAGAATCTGTTTTTAAATGACAAACATGGTATGTTTTCCCCGTGGAAAATCGTAACTATTGGGAAACCATAAAAGCGGAAATGACAACTCCTGCGCGCTGTGACTGCCCCGGCCTGCGCCTGTCCGGTTCTGCCACTCCTCCCTCATCCCACGTTAGGGCCACCGTGTCGTCTTCATGTCGCGAACTTTCTCTATTACTGAGTACACTTGTATACTTGAAAAACATTGTTTGAACGGCTGCTCGATAGCCCATCATGTGGCCATACTTTAACTTGCCCATCCTGTATTTCTGGACAACTATTTATGTTTAGAAGCAGCGCTGAAAACAACATCCCTGTGAACGAAGCACTTGTCCACATCAGGGCAGAGTCAGCACTGCAGATCGAACGAGGCACTCAACTGCTCTGCCAGGTGGCCCTGCAGGGTGCCTGCTGTTCACGCCACCATCAGCTGCGTGGCCTGGCCCTTCCTTTGCAGCACTGGCAGCTGTCCTGTTTAAAAATCAGCTTTGCAGGCCAGGCGTGGCAGCTCACGCCTGTAATCCCAACACTCTGGGAGGCTGAGGCGGGTGGATCACTTGAGGTCAGGAGTTCGAGACCAGCCTGGCCAACATGATGAAACCCCACCTCTACTAAAAATACAAAATGGGCACCTGCAATCTCGGCTACTGGGGAGGCTGAGACAGGAGAATCGCTTCAACCCAGGAGGTGGAGGTTGCAGTGAGCTGAGATGGCGTCACTGCACTCCAGCTTGGGCAACAAAGAGTAAAACTCTTGTCTCAAAAAAAAAAAAAAAAAAAAAAAAATCAGCTTTGCAAAATAAATTCGTAAATATGATGTCTAAAAACTGTTGTGTTGATTTGCTATTAATAGTAAAGCTAAGAAATTGTTCATATGTTTTCTGGATGTTGATGTGATTATTGTTAATTGTTTTATAACATTTATTCATTTTTTAAAACAGGGTATTATTGATTCCTAAGAATACTTAATTCACCTCTAGTCATTCTGGCTGTAAGGATATTCTCACATTTCTCACTTTCCTTTTTCGTGTACTGAAGTTTAACATTTTTAGGTCATTGAAAGTATTACTTTCTATTGAATTTCACTTATTCTTACCCTGTAGGGTTAGTTACATATTTACTTCTAATGTTTTTTCAATAGACACTTAACATTTAAAAAGTATTTCTGGGAGATTGAAGGTCTTCTCGTGTTCATGGAAATCTCCGTGTTTCCGGAGGCCCTGGGCGGTGGGCTGAGGGTGGAGCACGCAGCTCTGAGAGGAGACTGGCCCTTCCCTCACCAGCACCCTTCGCAGACCTCACAGCACAGCTCCAGGTGGCTGAAGAAACATCCTTGTGTCTCCTCCAGGCCCACCATGCAAGCTCTGCACCTGACCCTTAGCAGCTGATCACCCACCTTCAATTCCTCCCTTGTTGACACGCGCATGGTCAGGAGGATGAAGTCCTTGGAGTAACACTGAAGAAGTTCCTGCTGCTCTTCTCCACGGAGCTGGGCAAGAAACCTGCCCAGAGGAGTCTGCCGAAAGATTTCCACGAACCTCTGTGGCAGTCCTGTAGAGGAAACCAAGGAGCGGCCTGGAGTGCGTCTAAGCCATGATGCTCCCCTGCATCCAGGAGGCTCCGTTTCCCGGAGGAGGGAAGAGGAACGGGATGTCTTGTTGAATGGGAGCTCATAGACGGGCACCAACCACCCGATTTTGTGGGGAATTGAAGGAATAATCACTGTCTAGACACTTAGGGTATAGGATATTTTCTTCTTTCTTCTTTTTTGAGATGGAGTCTCAATCTGTCGCCCAGCCTGGAGTGCAGTGGCACGATCTCGGCTTATTGCAACCTCCGCCTCCAGGGTTCAAGTGATTTTCCTGCCTCAGCCTCCCAAGTAGCTGGGATTATAGGCATGCACCACCGCACCCGGCTAATTTTTGTGTTTTTAGTAGAGATGGGCATTCACCATATTGGTCAGGCTTGTCTCAAACTCCTGACCTCAGGTGTTCTGCCTGCCTTGGCTTCCCAAAGTGCTGGGATTATAGGTGTGAACCACTGTGCCCAGCCTAGGATATTTTTCCAGTGGAATAAAAGGAAAGCAGAAGCAGTGTCAAATTTAGGTCAGAAACAGCCAAGCTAGCCCCAAAGAGAACACCCTGAGATAAGACTGAGTTGTACGTTGCATGGCTGTAAGTCATGGCATGCTTCAGGAACCCCCGGGGCCGAGTCAGTCAGGAATGAGTGAGCTGCTTGTCAGGGGCCGGGGTCACAGACTACACAAGCCAGGAAGATCTGGCTTCTAGAGGGCGGGGGTGGCCCCCAATTCACATGCCGTCATGGAAAAGCAGGGTCAGTCAGGGTATTGTCCTGAGAAGGGACCATGCTCCTGAGGAGGGAGACTGCTTTGAGTTTGTTCAGAAAAGGGCAGAATGGTGACCTAGAAAAGGTGGCCACCTTGAGTCCTCCAAATGGTCCGATAGGTAAACATGGAAAAGGTTATTTCATGTATGAAGGATGACTTTTCCAAAAGTGTTGCATTACCCTTGGTTTTTCTGGACCATGGCAAACCTGGCATCTGGCAGCAGAGGCCAGCACCACGTGTCAGCTGACTCAGGAGACAACAGCTGAGAGGTGCCTCCCGATGGGGCAGTTGTGAGTAGGGGATGCTCCGGGCACCCAGGCCTTCTGAGAATGCCTCCACTGGGGCATCTCCTGAGTCCGGTGCCCAAGTCTGAGAAGCCCCAGAATGGGAACGACCAGCTGATAGAGGTGACAGTCCTCCTACCAGAACACACCCCATTTCACCACCTACCTGGCCGTGGTAGCACTAAAACCACCTCAGGCTCCTGCTACCATAGGACCGGAAGCCTCCTGGTCCCTGCTGGGGCCTCTCCCTCCTTCAGCAGAAACTTTAAAATGATGGTTACATAAATTGGACGCTACAGCATAAAGTGTGGAAACTTAAAAACTCCAAAATTGACCTTGCGATGGTAACCACCCATCTGCTTCCACTGTCGGGCAAGCCCGTCGTGACTGCGCTGCGCGGAATCTGACCTGTTCTGAGGCAGCCTCACCTTCCGCATCCGTGAGGTACTGAGCCTGGACCCACAGCTCCTCCAGATAGTCCCTGATTCTCCAGCTGAACGGGACGTCGTTGGAAGCGTTCTCTGAAAGGTTCATGTGGTTCTGCACCACGATGTAGGCCATCTCACCTTGACGTCTGCAATAAGGCGAGTGACAGGAAGATGACGGGTTGGGAGGCGCCCCTCGAAACACAAGACGGGATCCGCCACTGACTCCGGCTCCTCCCAGGCCTCCAAACGGGGGGCCACCAGGCAGACGGCGCTGACCTATCTCACAGTCCAGGCCCAGGGCACTCCCTCATGCAATCGTTTTGTTTTACAGACAAAACAGAAACAAACCGAGGCTGACGGGTCAAGTGTGTTGCCCAGAATCTCAGGCAGAACTCAGTCCTCTGGTTCCTGAACCTGTCCTTTGATGATTTGTAACACGCACAGCGTGTTAGTCTGTTTCAGGAACAGCGGCAGTGCCTTGCCTTCTACACAAGTGTTTCCACTGGCAACTGAAATTCATCCTTCCTCCCTCCTTCCTTCTTCCTCCCTCCCTCCCTTTTTTCTCTCTTCTCTCTCTCCCTTTCCCTCCTTCCCGTTCTCCCTTTCTGCCTTTCTCTCCTCTTTCTTCCTCTCTCTCCCTCTCCCTCCTTCCCTTTCTCTCTTTCTTCCTTTTTTTCTGAGACGGGATCTCTGTCACCCAGGCTGGAGCGCAGTGAGCGGAGTGATCACAGCTCACCTCAAACTACTGGGCTCAAGCAATCCTCCCACGCAGCTTCTAGAGCAGCTGGGACTACAGGTGCGCACCACATTACGCCTGGCTAATTTTCAAATTTTTCTGTACTGGTGGGGTCTCGCTGTGTTGCCCAAGCTGGTCTCGAACCCCTGGGCTCAAGGAACTTTTCTGCCTCAGCCTCCTGAAGTTCTGGGGTTATAGGCATGAGCTGCCACACCTGGGCACGTTTATTTCTGTATTCTTGATTAACCTGCATCCAGAACTGAAACCCCTGAAAGCCCAAGAGGAAGCTGTTGGGAGCTGAGCCTGAGATCCACAGCATCAGGCCTGGGGAAGGGGGTGGGGGCTGGGCAGCTCCCCCAGGGAATGAGGGATGGAGGAGGGGCACAGATCGCACCGCTCTTCTAAGCGCGGCTGCTCCCTGCCACACCATGCTGGGTCTGGCTAGAACCGGTGCTCTGAAAGCGGGGAAATGAAGGTGCAGATAAAGGTTTCTTGGAGCTTTGTAAATTTCCTTTTTTCAAGATGGAGTCTCGCTTTGTCACCCAGGCTGGAGAGCAGTGGCGTGATCTCAGCCCACCACAACCTCTGCCTCCTGGGTTCAAGCGATTTTCCTGCCTCCGCCTCCCAAGTAGCTGGGCCTACAGGCGTGTACCACCACACCCAGCTACTTTTTGTATTTTTAGTAGAAACAGGGTTTTACCATGTTGGCCAAGATGGTCTCGATCTATTGACCTCATGGTCCACCCACCTCGGCCTCCCAAAGTGCTGGGATTACAGGCGTGAGCCACGTGCCTGGCCGAACCTGCTGCTGTTACTGCAGAAAGTGACCACGTCAGTGCTGCTCTGGAGGTGAGGGCTGCGTTTCCTCCAGCACTTGGGAGGGCATATCAGGGTGCTGCTGGGTTCTGATAGTGTCCCTCCCCGTGAAAAGAAAGTCTTCCATTCACCTCGAGTTATTCATCACAAGAGGAATGTTCAGAAGCTTCGTGTCACTGAAAATAAACATCCAAAGGTCTCTTGCCCAGGGCGGAGTCCCTGTCCTGGTCAGTAGCTCAAGGTTGCCGTCTCTGTCGATGAAGGAGATCATGCTCGCCAGCAGGGGGGTCACGGCACCTTGTACCCGCTTCCAGAGCGTGTGCCTGCACAGGGAAGACACCACCACGGCTCAGAGGACCACAGCAAGGGCTGCCATCTTTGGACACTTTGGTCCTTTCTGAGCATTAACAAAACACCTACTCTACTGATTACCACACTCTAGCTATGGCAGTGAAATTTTCATCATTTTTTAAGTATTAGAAAAGCAGACTCACTAAAATGTCTAAGATTCGAGGCAGAACCGGGATGGAACTTAATTCTACATGGAATAAACGGTAATTAGGTTACTGAAAGGGTGAAGTAGTGTTTGCTTTACTTTTATTATTATTACTGAAACACATATTTGAGGCAGGGTTTCACTCTGTCACCCAGGCGGTAGCGCAGTGGCACAATCATAGATAGCTGTAACCTTGAATACCTAGGCTCAAAGAATCCCCCCCTCAGTCTCCCAACTCAGCCTTACGAGTAGACAGGACCACCATGCCCAGCACCACCACACTTAGCTAATTTTTAAATTTAATTTTATTTTTTGTTTAGATGGGGGTCTCACTGTATTGCCCCGGCTGACTGGTCTCAAACTCCTGGGATCAAGCAATCCTCCCGCCTCAGCCTCCCAAAGTGTTGG